ACAGTGGCAAACAGGAGCAATCCATGAACCAAGGTAACTAGGCAGAGACTAAAATGATATGTAAATGAAGGCCCAATTCTGTGAATATCCTAAATTACTTACAGTCTTGCCAGGCAATATAGCACTGAGCAACTCAGAGCTAGGCTGTCAGAGGTGTTCATAGCAACTCAGCTTTCTCTGGCTTTAAAGAATTGGGTTGTCCTATGCCTGTGGCCTGGACTGACTGCTATTATTTGATGCATACCGTTGACAGGCAACCTATCCAGGCAGAAATATATTTAAAAGGTAAACCCATAAAAGGAGAAGGGAGTGGTATTTTTTTAAGTAACCATCAGAAAGAAATGGCCAATAGAGAGATTGCTATTCCAGATGGCATGAGCTGTAAAGGAGAAAGCGCTTGTACCCATGTTGGAGAAATACTGACTGAATAAGGAGTAGGAGGATGCACTCTGAGGAGAGCACAGGGGATATTGTGGTCTTGATAGAACTGTGATGTGTGTCATCTAGTACTGAACTAAGTGGATAATATTGAGCCAGCTTGTGGTGTTTCTGGATGAAAATTTTCTTCTTTTACAATAATAGAGAAACTCCTGCTGGTTCCAAGAACAAGATCCCAGACCAAGCTATAGCTTGCAGTTAGGACCCAACAGCTGAACATCTCCTCAGTATCCCGTGGGTCTGAGTGAGTTGCTCTGTGGCTGAGCTGCCACCCAGTCAGGGTCAAGACTGCTGACCAGAACCTTAACAGTTGTTTTTGTTTTGTTTTGTTTTGTTTTTTTACCTCATTTCCTTTCACAGTGAACTCCTATGGTCAGCCCCAGCCTCCCCATCTCTTCTCCGGGCCATCTCCTATGTACCAGATTTCCACCCAGGACTCTCCAGGATATAATCGCCCAGGTAAGGAGTGACATTAAGGCATATTATACCAATGAGCATTAAAGAATTGGTTTCCAACCCCTTTGTGTGTTTCTCCCAAAGCACTTAGTAATGAAATGGAGCACTGCAGGTAGAGAGGGAGGCTGGACTGCAAAAAAACCTCTGTTTAGGGTTCTGCCATAGCTTTGGAAAGGTTTAGGGTGTCAGTGCCCTGATTTCTTTCACTTCACATAAACAGTCTCCCAGTTCAGCCTCACCCTCAATTGGTTGCTTGAAGGCAACTTTACATGAGAAGCTTCTGTTGATGAAGTCCTTTGTGCTCTATCAGCAGTCAACTGTGAGAAAAGTAAAGGAGGCTGAAACTTAACTTCTGTAGAAGATGCTGTGGAGAATTTCACAGCAGACCACCTACAGACGTTGGTAGGTGCTGTGTGACAGAGAAATTGATGCCAGTAGTGTTCTTGTTTGTTAGACTGTTGGAAGGAAGAAGGCCCAAACCACTTTGGGTTTCTTTTGCCCAAGAGCCCCCTGTGAAAAAGCATGTAGTTCTTTATTCTAACTGTTCTCTTTCCTTTTTTTTTTTTTCTTGTCAGCTCATCATCTGGTCCCCCGGCCTCCAGGACCTCCTCCAGGCGCCAATGAGGAAATCCCCGATGATTTCGACTGGGACTTGATCACCTAGCGAGTTACAGACTTGATAGGCCGTCCTTTGTGAGGGACGTGGGAGGGGAGGGAGACATGGGGTCAATGGTGTCAGCACCGCCCTCCCCAGCCTCCCTGCCTTGCCTGTATATAGATATATATTCTCTATCTCCGCCAGAGAAGCCACCGCAAGATGCTGCCGAAGATAATCCTTCCTTGCGTCCTGTTTTATCTTCTTTTCTTCTTTTGTTTATTATTATTATTGTTATTATTATTATTACCAATAATTGAGCACAGCCCTCCCCCTCCTCTGGTGGCCTCGGACGCATTGGATCAGCTCTTTGATGTTGTGTATGCCCTATGGAGGGCAGAAAGATGGGTCCTTGGTGCCATGAAAAGACCTTGGAAGGCTGAATCCTCGAGTGCATCTTTCTCTGCCTCCGTCATTTTGCGTTTAACAATCCCTCTTTCCCTTCAAGGTGGCCGGTGAATCTGTTGTATTGGCTACTGGAGTGAGAGAGCCTAGTGGACCCTGGGAGCCTGTAGTTATGTTGTTTCGTAAATGTTGTAAAGGTCAGGGGGCTGAAGGGACACAGGAGGGGTGATCTTAGCTCTGTGAACTTTGTCGCACCAGCAGGAACAGCAAGAAAAGAAGTGGTGTTCCCAAGTACAAAGAGAAGGTAATCCCTGAGGCAGGGAGAGCTAAGCTGAGCTGGGAGGGCAGACCTGAGTTTGGAGAAAGGAGAACGGGGCAGAGATGGTATTTCAGCAGTGAAGTTGGGTTTCACAATGTGGTGCCATCTGTGAAGACAGAGAGATTTTGAAGGGAATCCTGACCATTTCCTACACTGCTTTTTGCAGTCTCCAGGTGAAGCTTAAATACTCATCAGATAAAAGAAGCAGTCAGGGGTCTCACATGTGATTCAGAAAATTCTGTTCCCCAGAGCTTTTAATTTCACCCCCTATCCCTTCAAGCCCTTCTTCAAAATGTAGTGAGGCTCTTACTTGCATATGCAAATTTGGAAATTTTCTCCCATCAGTATTTGTCCAATTGTTATTTGGCCCTCTGCCCCTCAGATTTCTTTGGAGACTGTCTTTGCCTGTGTTTTGAGTGCCAGCAGCAGGAGCCTTGTTGCATACGTGCATGTCCTCTGTCAGGGGTTCCCACTTGGTGAATGGGCTCGTGGTGGGCAGATGAAGCTGCTGCACAGACTGGGGGGGAACTTGAGGGGCTGCTGGTCAAGGGCTGGACCCTCTGGTCAGGTACCAGGAGGCCCTCATGAGCAGTTTTTGTAAGAAGGGCATTAGAAGAGAGAGGATGAAGCAGGGCAGGCTTTTAAACCGAACAGCCAAAGAGTGTAGTATAAAAGGGAGGTGGGGGGGTCAGACCCCTTGCAGTTCGGCTGGAGAGATGACAGCATCTGGTGTAAATCCTTAAGGATGAGTTTTGTCAGCACTTGCAAATCAGGAAGGTGGAAAAGGTGCAGGAGCAGGAGTGAGTGTTGAGATGCCTCCTCCCCAAAGCTATGTCCTGTGTTCCCCTTTTTTTCTGGTATGGCTCTGTTCTGTCAAACCTCTTGCTTTCTCTTAATATTATGTAAAGCCTCCCCCCAGCCCTAATTCCCTGTTTATCAGTGAAGGGAACAAACATGGAAATAGACCATCATGGCCACTTGACAAACCTGGGGCAGGGCAGTAAAGTAATAACCTCTACTCTGACTGCAGGAAGGTGGGGAACTGCCATTGCTTTTTCGAATTGCTTAGGGATAAACCAATTGGAAATTGGGTCTTTGTCAGGGAAGTGGACAGAGTCTTGTTGTATCAGGAGGGGGGAACAACACTTTTTTTTTTCTTTTTTTCTTTTTTTTCTTTCTTCTTTTTTTGTTTTTTTGGTTTCTTTTTTTTGTTTTAAGTGTGTGTTTGGGGGGGAGTTCGTCATTGAGTATTTCCAAGAGAAATGAGGAATCCCAGACAACTTCAGCATGGAGTCAGCTGTTATCTCTGCTGATTCAGGACGGGAATAATACATCTTGGAAGCATGTGTGATAGGTTTCTGTGGGAAGTGGCACCAGAGATAACTCATGGCAGGTGCCAGTTAATGTTTTGCAAAGGACATTACTGAGAGCCGGCCCTATGGAAGTCTGAAAACACCACCGGACGAAAAACAAACCAAGATGGCTCCTTCTGCGTATCCAAGTGCTCCTCATTTGCATATTTGCCTCATTTGCATATTAAGTTGTGCCTCATTTGCATATGTAAATACATGCCGGTCAGTGTGCAAATTAGCCTCGTTCCTCTGCCCCTGAAATAAATGTGCGTTGTTAGTGCGTGGGAAGACATCGATGGGGTGGGCAGCACTGGCCTGCAGGGAGGGGAGAGGGGCCAGCCTGGCCTGGAGGAAGGTCCTGCAGGCCCTTCCAGCCCGGTGTGGCCCCCTGTGCTTCGTGTCAGTGGTCAGGGAGAGAGGGGCGTGGTTTCACGAGTTTATTTTTGTGCATGCTTTCTTAATAAAAAGAAAAAGTGAATGTTTATGGTTTAACTCTTTTGGTGCCAGTATTGATTTTTTTCCCAGCGGCGCTCATCAGGTTGGCTCAGGTCCCACCTACTTACCTTAGAATTTGGGTGTTGACATGGCTAAATGAACCTGTATGTACTTTAGACAGAGACTTTTTTATGATGTTGAGAGAAAGAGTTGGAAGTTCTCCCAGATAACTGTTTTTGAGGCACTGAGATTTGTGAGTCTTTCAACTCGTGCTCACCGGAAAGGCAGAGTGAAAACTTTACCAGTGTTTGGTGGCTGTCATACCATGTGTTGACCTTTCTCTTTTAAGGAAGGAGTAACACAAAGAGCAGATTTTTAAACTGCTTCCATAGAGTACCTAGTAAATGTATTACCATTTTTCAGGAGCAGGGAATGTTCAAGCTTGGGAACACCCCAAATAGCCTGACTGGATGAAATTTTTATCTTCCTCTGCCAGAAGGACACAAGAAGCACATCTCTCTTGTAAAGAGAGCCTGATGTGACTGAGCCCCAATGTGCTCGTTCCCCACCTTCTTGAGGTTATCACTTCTCGATTCCAGAGTTTTGCCAAATGGCTGATAGTCTAGCAGTCATCTGATCTGGATCATCCATGACTACAGCTATTGAAATTCTGCACATGTGCCATCTTGAAATGCAGGAGGTGCATTTGGATAATCTCAAACTACTTCCTAAAAGGAATATTTGGGACTCTGGTGGTGGAGAGAGTGTTGCGGAGGCAGCAAGCGTGCACGTGTTAATGAACATAGGTACTGCATGTGCATTGGACGAGTTACAGTGATGTATTTCCCAGTCAGTTCAATGCAGCTGCCTGGGGCAAGTGCTGCTCTAACACAGGGCTGTAAAGGAATGCAACATTACCCTCTAGGGGAATCTTCAGATACTCCCCCACACACCTCAGGCCCAAGAAGAGACAAAGGAGAGGAAAGATGTGATCACATTCTGAGGAGAGACATCAAAGTGAGTTTTATCTGCAGTTTATCAGAGACAGGAGATGTAGAACATAGACATATGGAAATAAAATAACATTCTCAATTCAGAGGTTCAACTACATGATCCCACCACATTCTGCAACCCTGCTTTCTTCTTTAAGGGTTAAAATATTCTCTCTTCTGCTTCACCAGAGTCTTCCCTCACTCTTGATACTTCCAACTTCCCATCTCTAGAGTAGGATGTAAAGGGGTTACTTGTCATGAACTGAACCATACAGTGTCCTGGATGTGGAGTTGCAGGCTAATGAAATGTGTTAGAGCAAAAACAGCTGTTAAACAGTGATTGATGTGCAGGGCCATAGCTTGGTCTTTCTGCAGTGGTGAGAGGAAGTCCTGCATTATACTGTGCTGCTAATATTCTTCTCTCCTGAAGTCTGGCTTCTGTGAAGGGTTGAACATGTGAGTTCATCACTAAAGGCACCTTCCAAGATTCCTTGCACTGATTGCCGTACCTTTGCCCTGAAGTCCCGTCCCACAAAAACATAGAGCAGGGGGTTGATGCAGCTGTTGGCATAGGCAAGTGCTGTAGAGAGGTGATCCCACAGGATCAGTGACTCCGTCAGTCCTGTTCTAAGATTAGGTACAAGGGAGAGAATCCCAACTACATGGTATGGAGCCCAGCAGATGAAGAACGCAGCTACCACGAGCACAATTGTTCTCAGCATCCTGTTGTGTGGTTTGCTAAACTGATTTGCGTGAGTTCTGAAAACAATAAGGACGTAGCAAACTGCCATTATGCCAAAGGGGAGCACAAAGCCAAAGACAGCTCTAGTGATGTTTATTACCACTAAGGCAAGGGGTACAGAATAATCACCTTCATAGGTATTTCCCAACAAGTCGTTACCATTGTAGGCTAGAGGTGAGTATTCTTCCCATGACTCATTTACAGACTCATTTATATAATCTAGCACCTGATCGTCTTCAAAACTGTACCCACACTCAGTTTTGCCATCGTAAGTGCTTGTCTTACGATAGTAGAAGACAGGACAGCAGAAAATGAAGGCCAGGATCCAAATGCCACTGCATATTAGCGATATAAATTTCACTGTTCGATGGTTTTGACACCAGACAGGTTTCATGACAAGGAGGCACCGGTCGATGCTGATGGCCACAAGTAGGAAGACACTAGCAAACATGGTGAAGATTATGACTGATGGAATGACTTTGCAGAGGAACCAACCATACGGCCAGTGTTCATGGAGGGCCAGGTGAACAATGAAAAATGGCAAGGACAAGCAGCACATGATGTCAGCCACAGCAAGGTTTAGGAACCACACAGTGTTCACAGACCTTTTCATTTTCAGACCAGCTACCCAGATTACCAATCCATTGCCTGGGATACCTGTGATGAAAACGATGATGAAGATAGCAATGGAGACAATTGATACCGATGCATAATATACAGCAGCCTGTTCCTCTGAACTGCTATTGCTCAGGAGCTGAGGCATTCTGCAGCTATAAAACAGAGAGCAAATGAGTAGCAATTCACATTCTCCTCCCCAAATTCTTCTTTTAATCTTTCATGAAGCATCCTGAGTCAGGTGACAGTACAGAGCTGTGAGGGTACAAAGGCATTGGTCTATCCAAGTTTGTGCTAAAGGCTTACTAATGTGACCATTGTACACCTTCATCATTCTTGTAGTGGCTAAGCTACCTAAGCCCCACTATTCAAACAGCTGTATGCATTTACATTCTCTTATCTCTGTCACCCCCTTTGATATCTGGTTCTTTTTAGTCTCCACAGTGGGGCTCTCTGTTCACATGGCCATGCTGTCCCCAGGTGTTTCCTATTGCCTTCCTGCTTTGATTACACTTCTCAGAAAGGGAAATGCGGGTTTTTAAGTCCTGTTCCCTTTAAAACAAGCGATTTCCTCAGGCATAACCAGTGAAATACATCTAGGCTAAGAAAGTGGTGCTTGTCTTTACAAAATAACCCTGCTCTGCTTTCTGGACATTATAAATAGAACACAGAAGACAGCAACTCTGTTGCTAAGGGGTATTTTAGGGAAGTCTCAGTAACCACTTCCTTCTCCCTTTCTTGTATTCTGACCTGTCTGCTGGTTCCTTGGAAAGCTAGTCTTGATGAGGAGAAAGGCAAGAAATGAATGGTTAAGGTTCTATGAAAGGCAAGAAATGAATGGCTTAAGAAGAACAGACAGAGATTTATTTGTAGAAATAAAAATGAAAATACAGAGTTATAGCAGTAAGGTTCTTGAGCCATTTTAGATATAAGAGGTGCCTTATTGCAAGACAATGAAGCTGAGCTACTACATACTTAAGTGACATGTTAAAACCATGAGAGTAGTAGAGGAACAATGTTAATTGCTCAATTATTCTTGGACTTAGATATTAGTAAATTTAGAAAGGAAAGGAAAACTAGCAAAGCCAAGATAGAACTGAGAAAAAGTGCCCAATCTTCATCCTTTAGGTACTAATAAATTTGTCTATAAAATGCCTGTTAACTAAATCCTTGCTGAATCAATGAAAGGAGTTGTGTTGCTGAAAGGTCCCTAAAATGGTACTAAAATGCAAGGAAGCTGCATAGTTAAGAGCTGAATACAGCCTGCAGAAGCAACTGAGAAGACGTGAATAACATAACTGACCCTCTTTTTACCTCTGTTATGCCAGTACTTAAATGACAGTCAGGGACTGTTTTGTGCAGGACTAAATATCAATATTATTAAAAAAAATTAATTCAAATCATCCATCTCTTTCTTGCATAACATATAGTCTAAATGTGAAGCGATGCATTAGTGTTAGAACTGCTTCACCAGGAAGAAAATTAGATTGTAATTTACCAGTTTTTGGTAATAACTGCTAAGAAGTTTTAGATGAGGGTGACCTGCAAGAAAAGCTATGAAAGAAGTCTCTGGAAGACTGAACTTAAAGCTGGAGTCTTAACTTGAAATTCTATCAAGTTTGTTCCATTTCCTGTGGTCTTGCTGATACATGCAGAAGTGACTTTTATAGGGACAACTGGAGAACAGTGCTGCAACAGCTGAATCTTGTTGCCTCCTCATATAGTTACAGAAAATGGTGTGAAGGGGATAGGGAATCAAGGAATGCTGTAAAGACAGTAATGCAAGTCCTACTCCAAAGTAAACGGAGAGATGAATCAATATGAAGATACTGCCCACTCTATGTTTTCAAGAGTGCTAAAAGGGCTGAAATGTTCAAAAATGGAAGAGGGAACTGGAGGAGAGAGAGAGGTTTTCAGGAGTGAATAACAATAAATTGCAAGTAGAAGAGGAAAGCAGCTTATGATACCTACCTGAGTGAAGTTATTTCAGTGTGTCAGGGAGCAAGTACCATCAGTCCTGTCCCTGGAGTTACTGAAAAAAGAAACTCACATGACATTTTAGGAACCACTTGTTGTTTCCTGTATGTGTGTGCCAAGTGTGTTCTTTCACCCTGATGGAAAGGCTTAGAATGACTCATATTTGAAGTTTTAGATATCATCTGCTCTTTAAATAAACAGTCAAACCAAAAGAAGTTATCCTGATACTGTCAAAATAAAATAGTGGCCTAAATAAAACATTAATAGAAAGCAAAGGAATAATGTGCACAGACCTATACTTTACTAGAGTTTCCATAAGACAACTGAATGACATCTTGCCTGTTGGCATAGTACTGACATTTGCTTGATAGAATTCATAATTCCAATCTCTGCCATGTTACTGTCAAATGTCTGACCTGTTGTCTTGTAGCCACTTCCATGTTTTATCAGATCAGCACATTCACCTAGTTAATCCCATTTTTCTAGGATTCTTGTCAATCCAGATCAGCTTCTGTCCCATCTTGAGACAGCTTAGAACATTGTATTCATCAAACCATGACTGGTCATGTCAAAGGGATTTTAATCTGACTTTTACATTTCAGGGTATTTAAACTCTATTTTTTAAGAAGGAACTTGACTGACAGAAAGTTAGAAGTGGTTAACTGAAATGCTGATTGCACAAAATGTGGCAAGACGATAAGAACAAAAGATCTCTAGGGCAAGGCATTTCAAATGTTTTAGCAAGGGGCTTCTCCCTTGCCCCTCACAATTTGGCAAATAAGACTGCTAGCAGAAATGACAAAGCCCAGACATTCAAAACTCAGCCTCTGTATTTTGGTTTTGGTCTGGAAAAGAAACCACAACAGAGCAAAGTTCTGCTCCTGAGTGTGTCTCTGTGAAACCCACAAATGCTGCCTCCAATACAAAACGCATGAAACCAGAAACAGGAAGACAGGGGAGGGCTGAGCTGTACCCCCAAGGATAGACAGGCAGTCTGCCAGAAAAATTTCTCTAGCTGCATCATATTCTCAGCTGCCATTCTTCCTGCAGGACCCCTCAGACCCAGACAGGCAGTGCTGACAAGAGGTTACTCTTATGGGCTCCTGTTGGCCAAGGGACACACAGCCTGGTCACCGCCATGGAACTTGCTAGCTCTAGTCAAACTCTACTTCACAAGAAGGTCCTTCTCCACCAGTTTTGATCCTCCAAGTTAAAACCTCTCTAAGCTTTGGTGTTAATCCCAAATTACCACATTGCATTTTCTTCTCTTCTGGCTCTCTCCATTCCCCTTATGATATACAGGCTGAGCTAGCTGAGAAAGGCTCTAATTCACAGAATCACAGATTAGTTGAAGTTGGAAGGCTGTCTGGAGACTGACTAGCCCAACCCTACTGCTCAAAGCAGGGTCAGCTAGACAAGACTGCCAAGGACTGTGTCCAATTATGTCTGGGTATCTCCACAGGAGATTCCACAAACTCTCCAGGGCAATCTGTTCCAGTGTTCAACCACCCTCACAGTAAAAAACTGATTTTTTTTTTTTGGTGTTCAGATAGAACTTCCTGTGTTTCAGTGTGTCTCCCTGGCCTCTTGTCCTGTCACCAAGCTCCACAGAGAAAAGTCTGTCTCTGTCTCCATTTAACACTCCCATCAGACAGATGAAAAAAATCCCCCTAAGCCTTCTCTCTTCTCCCCAGGTTGGATAGGGCATTGAGCAACCTGGTCTAGTGGGAGATGTCCCTGCTCATTGCAGGGGGGCTGAAACTAGGTGATCTTCAAAGTCCTTTCCAACCCAAACCATCCTATGATTCTCTTCTCCAGGCTGAGCAGTTCCATCTCTCTCAGCCTCTCCTTGCACAACAGGTGTACCAGTCCCTTAATTGCCTTAGGGGCTCTCCACAAGTTTTGCTCCAGTATGTCCATGTCTCTGTAGTAGTGAGAAGCCCAGAACTGGACCCAGCACTCTAGATGTGGCCTCACTAGTGATGAGTAGAGGGGAAGGATCACCTCACTTGACCTGCTGGCAACACTCCTGGCAGTTATTGGCATTCTTTTCTACAGGGGCATATTGGCAGCTTATGTTCAACTTTCTGTCCATCAGGACCACAATGTCATCCTTCTCTGAAAAGCTGCTTTCCAGGTGCTCATCCCCCAGCACGCATTAGTGCATGGGGTTGTTCCTCCCCTGGACTTTCCTCCTCTCCTTGAACTTCATGAGGTTCCTGTCTGCCCAGTTCTCCAGGATGTCCAGGTTCCTCTGAATGGTGGCACAGACATCTGGTGCTTCAGCCACTCACACCACTTCTGTTTAATCTGCAAACTTGTTGAGGGTGCACTTCATCATCCAGGTCATTAAGGAAGAGTTAAACAGTACTGGAACCAGTGTCAGCTGCAGCTGGACACCACAGATGGTGTACAGATGGATGAAGTTATTCTGATCACCACTCTCTGAGCTCAGCAGTTCAGCCACTACTCAGTCCATCTCACTGTCTGCTTGCCTAGCCCACATTCCATCAGCTTGTCTATGAGAATGTTCCTCCTGAAGTTAATCTTAGTTAACAGACTCAACCAGCCAGCACAAGTTGGCTAAAACCATAATGCAAGTTACCATGTATATTGCCATTTCAGGCTTATTACTACAAAACTGCACCAGTCCAGCAGTTACTAAACAGTTACACCCATATGCAATTTCAAAAACGTGATCAGTGCATTTAAAAAAGCCTCCCTCCTGCAAGAGTATGCAGATTATCTCTGAAACACTTCAGCAAGAATGGAGAATTTCACTTTTATTTCATATTTCTTCCACTTCTGCAGTTCTTGAAAGCTTTGCAGCCCCTTTCTGACCTACCATTTATTTCTCTGCAGGTGGCATGTCTAGCTGGCTATGATCTTCCACAGACCTTGAATGTGCCTTGTGTATATGGCAAACTGATGTTCCTAAAACATCTGTCCAAAGCTCTTCCAATAAATCTGAGCCGTAACTGGCACACCTGTATCTCTAGAAGGCACACTGCAGTGGTCTGGTGGCCAGGCCTTGCTAAGCACTTGCTTTCCACCTCACAACCGTGCATTTAGGGACTCCCCAGTAACATGAAGTACCCACGGGGTTGCCCTCGTACTCCCCATATTCCCCTCTTAAAAAAATTCACTGAATGACTCCAGGGCATTTCTTTACAGTGCTGAGTAAGCTCAGGTAAGCACAAGCTTTGGACACCAAGTAGGGAACAAAGCCTGGCAAAACTGGTACCAACATAAAACCTACATAATCAAAAAACAGCCCTTCACAATAACTGGATGAGTGTTTGGATCAGTTTTTTCACTGAAAGAAACATCATTTGAAATAGTATATGGTCTATTTTGTAAAAATGCTCATAATTTTTAAGTTATTTAAAGAGTAATTTTGTGAGACTGGTTTCCCCTGTACCTTCTGTGCAGAAAAGGAAAATTCCAAATGTTGGGTACAGTGAAGTAGATTCCTGGGCAATGCCTTATTTTTTCTTAAATAGGTAAAGCAAAAGCCCAAATGATTCTTCTGCATGGTTTATTATGAGGCTACCTACAGATTCGCAGGAGCAGTGCATTTTACCCTACTTGCACACCTCACATTGTGGAGTTCCATCCAAGATTTCTGCTATTCCTTGTTTTTTGTTCATTGAAGATTTCTGTGTGGGAAAAATATGGATCCTTCATTGCTTTCATAGTCTGATTTTAAATATGTTCTACTTCAAGATTTCAACCTCACTGCTGAATTCTTAAAAAAAAAAAAAGTAAAAAAAATTAAAACCTTTAGCTTTTATCAGCAGTGCTTTATAATTTCTTGGTCCAGAGATGCCTGTTTGAACCAGGTAAAAGAATGTTATGTTCTCTGCTGGTTAAGTCTCAATGGAAATGGATGCGAGGTGTATTCCTGGAGTCCTGGTGCTGCTTGTGAATTTTTTTCTCACATGCCTTACAACAGCTGGCCCTTTGCCACTCTCTCATCCTAGAAGGACCATAGGAGGACTGTAGCACACTGAATGACAGCACAGTAAAGAGGTAGGTGAAATTTAGTATTGCTAATTGTGAATCACTGAACTTGGAAAAGCAACTGTAACTATACACACAGAGGGAGGTACTCCAGATAAGTTATTAGAACTCAAAGAAAAAACTTAGCAGTCACTGCAGAAATGTTCTCTGAAAAATCATGTCAACACACAAGTCAGTCCAAAAGGTAAATGTAACAGGAAGCATTCATTGCTTCTTGAACAGTGAATGCTGTAGTAGTCCCCGATCTTAAAAAGAATTATAGAATCAAAAATAACAAAGAAAATTATGACTAGACAGCCATTGCTGGGAATGGTTTCTTTTGGTGGACAAGCTAAATAGATGAGAATGGTTCACCTAGGAAAAGAGACAGGTGACAGTATGAGAGACATGAATTCTTATTTGAAAACAAAAATGTACATTTTTTCATATTGCACAATTAGATTCATAAGTCCAGGGATGGTATGGGTAACTAAAAGTATAAATAAGTTTTAAAAAAATTAGATGAGTCCATAGAAGACTATAAAATATTGCCAAGAAATGCACTAAACCCCTGGCCCTCAAAGCCCTTACACCACAGGTTGCTAAGCTACTATACTAGGGAAGTGTAATTCTGTGCTGTTTTACAGGCTTTCTTTAAGTTCTTCTGCAAGGTTTATCTCTCATTGATGTCTTCACCTCAATTCTGCAGGCTGACAAGCAGTTTAACACTGGCACAGTGCAAGGAGGGAGGCTGAGCTGCCTCTTACACATGTATCTGCATTGTGTGTGGGTGCCATGTATTCCTACTGGCTCCTGTGCATGCTGATTCAGCACAGTTGCCGAGTTGTCTTTATTAGTTTCTCCTTTATCTTGGGAGTTCTGCCAAATGTCCTTGTGGCCCATAAATTCTGCATTATGTCCACTATCAGTGGCACATCCGTCTCCCCAAGCTTTGTTAACCTCCCCCTAGGTCTGAAGTTATGAAACATGTCGAGCTCTAAAAAGGTAATTCTACTCACAAGTAATTTGTCTTTCTAGCACCTGGACATCACTTAGAGCTTGCTTGTTAGCTGCTCTGGGTTTCATGGATTAAATCTCTGTTGTTGATTAGGCTTGGAAGTATACAAAGATCAAACATCAAAGAACATCCTTTCTTAAGAGAATTTTTACATATTCCATATTTTTGCGACAATTAGGCAGTACTCCGATGCACAACCCCCTCCTCATTTCCTGGAACTTCCTGGGCGAATTGTTAATTTTTCTGACCCTTGAGATGTCAGCATCACTGCTAGTCTTAACTAAATCGATAAATAAAATAGTATCTACACTCTTATTTTCGCCACATTTTTGGGGAAGCCACACTCCTGAAATTAGCCTTTGCGTAGCTGGCATTTTCATCACTTCCAGCAGCAAAACCTGTAGTGTTTTGTGCCACGTTTTCTCTTGGTTTGCCGTTTTACCAATAAACCACCCGATCACAGCACCGCAGAAAGTCCATGTTCACTTAAAGCCCCAAGTCTGACCCACGGCTGCAGGGGAGCAGCTCCCGCGGAACCCACACAAGCAGGTCGATGTCCGTGCGGCGCCACAGACAGCCCCACTCCTCCGGCCATCCCTGGGGACAGCGCCCCAAGCAAACATGGCCGCGCCAGCCCGGGCGCGGGAACTGCCAGGTTCCAAGATGGCGCCAGGCTCCGCTGCTGTGTCAGAGGCGGCTCCAAGATGGCGCCCTTCCGCCCCCGGGCCCCGATGCCAGGATCCAAGATGGCTCCCTCCGCTTCTCTGACGTACTCGCGTCCCGCCCTGCCGCGCCCGCGCCCCCAGGCAGTGTCTGCCCTCATCAAAGATGGCGGTGGGCAGCACAGCTGGTCATTAGGCTACTGCCGCTTGCTTCTCGCCGGGGTTCGTGGCCGAGATGGCGGCGGCCGAATTGGAGTACGAGTCTGTTCTCTGCGTGAAGCCCGATGTCAACGTCTACCGCATCCCGCCTCGCACTTCCAACCGCGGATACAGGTGAGGCAGCGAGCGGCGGCGCCCGAGATCGCCCCGGCGCGGCGCGGCCCGGCCCAGCCCCTAGCCGCAGGGCAGCCAGGGCCCCGAGCGAGGCCTTGGGGAGCCGTGTCCCGCGGCCGCGAGCAGGTCTGGCCCGTTCCCTGAGCCCCCTCCGGCCGCAGCTCGGGGGGACCCGCCGCCTCGGGTTGCCTCTTGGAGGTGGTCAGCGCCTGAAAGCAGACGCGTGCGCTCCGTGCTGTGGAGGAGCAGGAGCTGCTCTGTCAATCGGATGCAGGAGGTGAGGGCGCCTGAGCACCTTGCTGTTCCAAGCAGAGCGGACCGTCGCTCCGGGTTTGCTCGGTCAGCGGGGATATGACTGATGTGCTGTAACGGCGCGTTGGCTTTGGCCTGTTCGCTCTGGCAGCAGCGGGGAGGAAGGCGGGAGGAGTTCTGCGTGATTTTTAAGAGGCTGCAGGACCAACAGGTAGAAATGCCGTCTCTGATTAGCAGAAAGCAGTGGCGTGCGGTTTTATAAGCTGTGGCCGCAGGCCTGCTGGAGAAGGGGATTTGTGTACTCCCTGAACTTGACAGACTGTTGGTGCTGTGGATGTTGTACCAGGCCACGGATATTTGTTTACAGTTGTAAAATCCTGTAGGTTTTACAGCACCAAGTCTGCCAGAGTTCAAGTATTGTTTGGACAATGCTTTCAGGCACATGGTGTGATTCTTGGGGATGTCGTGTGCTGAGAGTTGAACTCTATGATCCTTGTGGGTCCCTTCCAACTCAGAATATTCTATGATTCACTCGGTGGGTTTTTTTCTCTCTTTCTTTTTTTTTTTTTTTCTTCACAAGACTCTGTGGTAAAGAGTTTGATGGGCTGGTCAGAACGTATGGTGTTTTATCTGGTGTAAGCCAGGTGCCTACAGGTTCAGAAGTACTTGATATTAGTTTGCAACAGTAGGGTAGAATAACGGTGTGGCTTTTCAGCATGCTAATAATTAATTTTTGGGGTCTTCCTGATGCTCACAAGTCACTTATTAGTCACTTGTGGATTTCCTGTTCAAGTGAGTTTCTGGGCTTTCGTCTCCCCTCTTCTGTAGGCTTATAAATGTAGAAGGTTGATATTCTTTGGACTGTGTCTATTTCCCTTTACCCAGAGAGGCCAGTCAAAGTCATGTATGTTGATTGGCAGTAACAGAGAGGAACTGAGACCCCATGTGTTGTTTGGGGAGGGAAGTGGAGTGAGGCAGTTTCAGGTGTTGAGGGTTTGGGAGCAGAGACTTCTGCTGAGATGGTTGGGCAGAAGTAGAAGGGTTGCTGTATGGTCAGTGATCAGCTGCTTGTCCTTTCAGGGCATCTGACTGGAAGCTGGACCATCCAGACTGGACAGGACGGCTTCGTGTCACCTCCAAAGGCAAAACTGCTTACATAAAACTGGAGGATAAGGTTTCAGGTAAGGCAAAGGCTGTGCCTTGGCAAGACTGCAACTGTGATTGCTGCTTGTGAGCCTGTGTTTCTCAGCCTGCTCAGAGCTGTGTGGCAGCCCTGGCCACATTTAGCAAGAGGTTGCTCTCCTTAACACCTGATTCTTTGTCTGCAGGAGAACTCTTTGCCCAGGCTCCCATAGATCAGTACCCTGGCATTGCAGTGGAGACTGTGGCAGATTCCAGCCGCTACTTTGTCATTCGAATTCAGGATGGGACTGGTGAGTTGAGGGACAATGTATGTGCCAAGTGCTAGGGTGGAGGAGACTTAGCCTGGTGGAGCTAGGTGTTTGCCAGGTGGATTGGAACTGTTTTGGGAGTGCTGGCAAGGCTGGGGAGTGTACCGGGAGGGGTCAGAAGCTGAGATAAACAGAGGAGGTTCTCTACATTGTACAGAGCCCAGGGGCTGGGAAGGAACGTTTGATTTCTGAGCGTGCCCCATGGGAAGAAGGGTGTATCCTGAAGCCTAGGAACAGTGAGCAGCTGGTGTCCAGCTGCAGCTGTGTTGGAGGGAGGTAGCACAGAGTGATTTAGGAGAAGCAGAAGGATTTTGGAGCAAATGAACACAAGGGCCCATTTGCAGGGCACCTCCAATGACTCCTCCTATCTCCTTGCTAGGACGAAGTGCTTTTATAGGCATTGGCTTCACGGATCGTGGTGATGCCTTTGACTTCAACGTCTCTTTGCAGGATCACTTCAAGTGAGTTGTGCTTTTCTGAAATGCTGGTTTTCCTCTGGCCTGTAGAACGTGGCGGGTGGTGGTGCATGGTCATTCAGTGCGGGCTTCCCTGGGATGGTCCTGAAGCCCTGCTCTAGCAAGGGACACTTGAGCGTGCTGCCAGCAGGGTCAGATCTGTAAGTCTTAAACTTAGGTCCTGTGATGCTCCAGGTGCAGTGTTACACAGTTTTTTGGGTTTGTGGTGGTCACAACTTTTTGCTGTACTACAGTGGGAGTAGGGAGGTAGCAGGTTTGACAAGGCAAGGTAGTTTAGTGGGATGGGGAGAGAAACCACACATTTTTCTGAAACCCTGCTTCCTTTTGCCACAGGGTTTCATGTCTTCCTCTCTTCTTTTTAGGTGGGTGAAGCAGGAGACCGAGATCTCCAAGGAGTCCCAGGAAGCTGACACACGTCCCAAATTAGATTTAGGATTTAAGGAAGGGCAGACTATCAAACTAAACATTGGGGTAAGCAGACCAGTTTACTCTGTTGCTTTCTCTGGATGTGCCAGTGGAAACTCTTCTTACATGTTCCTTCTTTTTATACAGAACATGACGACAAAGAAAGGAGGAGCAGCCAAGCCCCGTGCATCTGGATCAGGTGGCCTAAGCCTGCTGCCACCCCCACCAGGAGGCAAAATTGCAGTCCCTCCTATTCCTCCCCCTTCTTCCACAGCCATTGCCAACCATGTCACACCACCACCTGTGCAGAAATCCAGTAATGCGAGCAGTGCAGGTAAACATTAGCACAGAGCAAATGATCAAGCACTGGTAGGTGCTTAGAGAGAGCTGAGATCTGCTGCAGCAAACCCATGTTCAGCCTCGTGCCAGCAGTGCCCTGTGAGACATGGTGTGTCCCTGCTCTCTTTGGCAGTTCTGGTGCCCCAGTGCAAGAAAGACTTGGGCCGGTTAACCCAGGTCCTGAGGAAGGCCGTGGAAATGGTCAGAAGGCTGGAACACCTCTCCTGTGAAGAAAGGCTGAGAGGGTTGGAGTTGTTCAGCCTGGAGAGGACAAGGCTCTGGGGAGGCTTCATTGTGGCCTTTCAATATATAAAGGAATCTTGTGAGAAAGATGGAGACTTTTTACCAGGGCCTGTAGTGACAGGACAAGGGGTAAAAGCTTAAACTGAAGGAGGGTAGATTTAGATTGGATATCAGGAATAAATTCTTTACAGTGAGGGTGGTGAGACCCTGTAACAGGTTGCCCAGAAAAGCTGTGTGTATCCCTTCATTGGAAGATTTCAAAAGCCAGATCGGGGAGGGCTTTGAGCAACCTGATTTAGTGAAAGGTGTCCCTGGCTCATGGCATGGCGGTTGGACTGGATGAGCTTTGAAGGTCCCTTCCAACCTAAACCATCCTGTGATTCTATAACAGAGAGGTCGCTGCAGTCTTCTGGAGGCTGTACTAAAAATGTGACCACGCAGAGGTGTCTGGAGAGCTGATGATACCCTCGTGAAGGCAGAGACTTCAGCAGTGCTGTACACAGGTTTGAGTGAGAAGAAACCACAAGCTTCTGAATAGGGCTTGTGTGGTTCCAGAGCATGGTTTTTAGTGTTAAGGTGATGCCTGTTTGGCAACTGTTATGATTGCTGAGCCTTATGTCTACTGGGAGAGGTAATAAGTCACAAATCTGCCAGTTAGTGTGCTAAGTGGAGACCGAAAAGTTCAATGTACCCTTGCAGTGTGAGCTGGAGGCTCTGTGCACGTTCAGTAAAAGGTGATGCTGTTACAACAAACCCCTTGAAAAGTAACTTCCTTCTTCTGGAGGGACAGCTGGAGTCCTTTAAGATTTTCTGCTCCTGCATCCAGGACTTTGTTAAAGATGGCAGTTAAAATGCCTGTGGGGTTTTCTTCTTGATTAGCTTGATATTTCTTTTTTCCTTTTCTGCTCCCATAGATATTCTCTTAGACTTAGATGCTCCTGCATCTGCATCCAAGGCACCAGTACCAGCTACCACAGACCTCTGGGGAGACTTCAGCACTGCATCCAGGTAAACTGATGAAGGGAACACAAGAAGGGTAGTGTCCTAATGGGCACTGGAAGAACCATAAGTTAAGAAGTCTTATTAGATCTGCCCATTTGACTCTCCTTTCTTTATTGCAGCGCTGTTCCCAATCAGGCTCCTCAGCAGTCCAACTGGGTCCAGTTCTGAATGATCAAAGCAGTGGAATGGGGCAAACTGATGACCAAGAGGCACTAGAGGCACCAAATGGGATCAGAGGGGCGCAAACCTCTCTAGTCTTCAATCAAAAACAAATTTGGACAATCTTTCATTTTTAAACCAGATCTTCACTTCAGTAAAAACTTACTATTTTTGATCCCACCGAACCAAAAGAGAACATACTGACTCCTCCCAAGATGGGCAAGGAGGAGAGAGGTAGCCTTATCTCTTCCACCTACTTGGCCATTAAATGGTACATCCTAGCTCTTTTTCCCTGTCTTTCCATACAGGGAAAGGAAGAATCCTAAAGA